TTGATTTTAGCCCTTCTGACAGGTGTGAGGTGGATCTCATTGTGGTTTTGATTTACGTTCCCCTGATGATGATATTAAGTATCTTTTCATGTGTCTGTTGACCATCTGTGTGTTGTCTTTGGAGAAATGTCTGTTCATGTCTTCTGCCGTTTTTAATTGGATTATTTGGGTTTTTTTGATGTTGAGTTGTATAAGTTCTTTATATATTTTGGATACTAATCTCTTATTGGATTTGTGATATGCAAATATCTTCTCCCATTCAGTAAGTTGTCTTTCAGTTTTGTTGACTGTTTCCTTTGCTGGGCAGAAGCTTTTTCTTCTGGCGTAGTCCCAATAGTTTATAGTTTGCTTTTTTTCCTCTTGCCTCAGGAGACATATCTAGAAAAATGTTGCTGCAGCTGATGCCAGAGAAATTACTGCTTGTGTTCTCTTCCAGGATTTTTATGGTTTCAGGTCTCACATTTATGTCTTTAATTCATTTTGAGTTTATTTTTGTATATGTGTGAGAAAGTGGTACAGTTTTCTCAACACCATTTGTTGAACAGACTTTTTCCCATTGTGTATTCTTCCTTTATCCAAGATTAATTGAGCATATAATCATAGATTTATTTCTGGGTTCTCTGTTCTGTTCTGTGGATCCTGTGTCTATTTTTGTGCCTGTACCATACTGTTTTGATTACTACAGCTTTGTAGTGTATCTTTTTTTAAAATAAATCTTTATTTTTTTAAAGATTTTATTTATCAGTGAGAGAGCACACAAGCAGGAGGAGTGGCAGGCAGAGGGAGAAGCAGGCTCCCCAGTGAGCAGGGAGCCCGATGTGGGGCTCGATCCCAGGACTCTGGGATCATGACCTGAGCCGAAGGCAGACACTTAACCAAGTGAGACACCTAGGCGTCCCTGTAGTATATCTTGAAATCTGGGACTGTGATACCTCCAGTTTTGTTCTTTTTCAAGACTGCTTTGGCTATTCCGGGTCTTTTGTGGTTCTATACAAATTTTAGGATTGTTTTTTCTAATTCTGTGTAAAATGCTGTTGGTATTTTGATAGGGATTACATTAAATCTGTAGATTGCTTTTGGTAGTATGGACACTTTAACAATATGAGCATGGAGTATCTTTCCATTTGTTTGTGTCATCTTCAATTTCTTTCACCAGTGTTTTGTAGTTTTCAGAGTACAGGTCTTTCACTTCCTTGGTTAAGTTTATTCCTGGGTATTTTATTATTTTTGAGGCAATTGTAAATGGGATTGGGGTCTTTTTGCATTTTTTCCCTTGTTTTGTTTTTTTAATTTTTTAATTTAAATTTAATTAACAGATAGTGTATTATTAGTTTCAGAGGTAGAGTTTAGTGATTCATCAGTTGCATATAACCAGTACTCATTACATCAGGTGCCCTCCCTAATGCCCATCACCCATTCCCCCACCCACCTCCTCTCCAGCAGCCCTCAGTTTGTTTCCTATAGTTAAGAGTCCCTTATGGTTTGTCTCCCTCTCTGATTTTGTCTTATTTTTCCCTCCCTTCCTCTGTGCTCTTCTATTTTGTTTCTTAAATTCCACATATGAGTGAGATCATATGATAATTGGCTTTCTCTGACTTATTTCACTTAGCGTAATACCTTTAGTTCCATCCATGTCATTGCAAACAGTTAAGATTTTATTTTTTGGTGGCTAATATTCCATTATATATATATGTGCCACATCTTCTTTATCCATTCATCTGTCGATGGACATCTGGGCTCTTTCCACAGTTTGGCTATTGTGGACATTGCTGCTATAAATGTTGTGGGTGCAGGTGCCCCTTCAGATCACTATGTTTTTATCTTTTGGGTAAATACCTATTAGTGCAATTGCTTGGTCATAGGGTAGCTCTATTTTTAACTTTTTGAGGAACCTCCATACTGTTTTCCAGAGTGTCTGTACCAACTTGCATTCCCACCAGCAGTGTAAGAGGGTTCCCCTTTCTCCGCATCCTCACCAACATCTGTTGTTTTCTGACTTGTTAATTTTAGCCATTCTGACCCATGTGAGGTAGTATCTCATTGTGGTTTTGATTTGTATTTCTCTGATGCTGAGTGATGTTGAATGTTTTTTCATGTGTCTGTTGGCTATTTGGATGTCTTCTTTGGAGAAATGTCTGTTCATGTCTTCTGCACATTTCTTGACTGGATTATTTGGTTTTTGGGTGTTAGATTGGATTGTTTCTCTTTTTGCTACTTCATTATTAGTGTATAGAAATGCAACGGATTTATGTATATTGATTTTGTATCCTTCAACCTTTCTGAATTCACTTATCAGTCCTAGAAGGGGGTGTGTGTGTGTGTGTATGTGTGAAGTCTTTAGGATTTTCTATATATAGTATCATGCCATCTGCAAGTAGTGAAAGTTTTCCTTCTTCCTTACTGATTTGGATGCCTTTTATTTCTTTTTGTGATGTTGTTGTGGCTAGGACTTCCAGGACTATGTTGAATAAAAGTGGTGAGAGTAAACATACTTGTTTTGTTCCTGACCTTACGGGAAAAGCTCTCAGTTTCTCCCCATTGAGTATGTTTGCTGTGGGTTTTTCATATATTGCCTTTATTATGTTGAAGTATGTTCCCTCTAAACCTACTTTGTTGAGGGTTATTATCGTGAATAGATGTACTTTGCCAAATGCTTTTTCTGCATCTATTAAAATGATCCTATGGTTTTTATCCTTTCTTTTGTTGATGGGATGTATCATGTTGATTGATTTGTGAATATTGAACCACCCTTGCATCCTGGAAATAAATCCCACTTGATCGTGGTGAATGATTTTTTCAATGTATTGTTGGATTTGGTTTGCTAACATTCTGTTCAAAATTTTTGCATCTACATTCATCAGAGATATTGGCCTGTAGCTCTTTTTTGTAGTAGCTTGTCTTTATCTGGTTTTGGTATCAGGGTAAAGCTGGCCCCTTAGAATGAATTTGGAAGCTTTCTTTCCTCTTCTGTTTTTTGGAATAGTTTGAGAAGAGTAGGTATTAACTCTTCTTTAAATGTTTGGTAAAATTCACTTGTGAAACCATCTGGTCCTGGACTTTTGTTTGTTGGGAGTTTATTACTGACTCAATTTCATTGCTGGTAATGGGTCTGTTCATATTTTCTCTTTCTTTCCTTATTCAATTTTGGGAGCTCATATGTTTCTAGGAATTTATCCAGCTCTTCTAGGTTGTTAATTTGCTGACATACAATTTTTCATAATATTCTCTTATAATCCTTTATTTCTGTGGTGTTGGCTTTTTCTCCTCTTTCATTTATGATTTTTTTTTATGAGTCTGGCTAAAGGTTTATCAATTTTCTTGATTTTGGGCCATTGTTCTATTTTCACTTGTCTCCATGTATTTTATTTCCTCTTTGATTTCTTGGTTGAACCATTCATTGTTTAGTAGCATGTTATTTAATTTCCATGTATTTGTGCTCTTTCCAGATTTTTTCTTGTGGTTGATTTCTAGTTTCATAGTGTTGTGGTTAGAAAAGATGCACAGTATGACGTTGATCTTTTTGAATTTGTTGAGACTTGTTTTATGGCCTAATATGTGATTGTTTTGGAGAATGATCCATGTACACAGAATGTATATTCTGATGTTTTAGGATGGAATGTTCTCAATATATCTGTGAAATCCCTCTGGTCCTATGTGTCATTCAAAGCCACTATTTCCTTGGTGGTTTTCTGTTTGGGTGATCTGTCCATCTATGCAAGTGTGGTGTTAAAGTCATGATCAATGTGCATTTGTGATTAAATGTGTTCTCATCCTATGACCTAAATGGAACAAATTTCTTCAGAGAGTATTTCAAAAGGCACTTATACAAAACTAGCCTGCAAAAACTTGAGGTTTGATTGGTGTGTTTATTCCTCCTCTTTGTGCCAATGTATCAACGTGGAGTTACTTTTCTTTCCCCATTGCTGCACTGTTAGCACACATTTTTCCCATTGTGCTTTTTATGAAGATTTTCTGAACATTGGAAAAAATGTACTTGCTATATTCTAGCCACTAGAGATCCAAAAAATATGAAACTGTTCTTGTTTTCAAGAGGTTCACAGCTTAGTGAGGGAGACCCAAACAGAAAATTATCTGACAAAGTGATATAGTAATAATAAATTAGCTGGGGAGTATTTTTAGTTGTAAACAACAGCCCCAATTCTGGTAAACTTAAGCAGAAAGTAAGTTTTCAAAATGATAGCAGGTAGCTCACTGACTCTCTGGGAGAATAAGAAAGCCCTATTTGAAGTCTTTGAACCCAGGAATGATGCTCAGTATCACACAATATCACTGGCCCCCTGGTGCTAGAAACCCCACCAATGGAGAATAGCTGTGACTGTCACAGCTATCAGCAGATGTCCCTGCCTCTGTGTCCCCAGCATCTGAATCAAAGTCTGGTTCTGGTATATCTGATTAAAGGAAAGACTTTTATAGGCAGAAGGAAATGGGACAAGGAAGTTGTACTAGCAATAAGCAGATTGGTTGTGACAAGGTCACCTTCCTTTAGGGGACACAGGGGTCTGTCAAGCAGATTACCTCAGTAGTGTTGACCAGGGAATTCCAGATTGACTGGTTTAAGATTCCATTCCTGGGAAAGGCTGAAACTATAAAGTAGGTATTAAGTCTCAGTTTGTTGGCATGAGACTTAGCATAAGTGACCCCATTTTGGGCTTGTTATCTCTTTCTTTAACAGGAATTAGAAGAAATGTGATTGGACCAGATGTTTGGGAGCTCTATTATACCATACTCTGGACTGCCACTGAATGAAGGGTTTAAACAGAGGAGTAACCTGGTCAGTTTTGCATATTTGATCACTCTAATAGCCATGGATGGATATATTTAAGAAAAACAACACAAGATGCAGAGATACCTATGCCCTTAGATGTTATGAGAACCTGAATTGTAGCAAAAGGGTTGGGGGTAAAGAAATAAAACCAGAAGGGCCTGGTGGTCTATGTGATCTGAGAAGAAAAAGTTAAGAGTGATGCCCAGGGTTTTCATTTTATAGGACTGAGTGGACAATGAGGTCATCACTGGAGGTAAGAAGTAGAGGAAAAATCTTTTGAGTGGAAGGAGTAGAAGGGTCTGTCAAAGTAGGATGAGTTGAGTGTCAGACGCCTGAAGGATATCCAGGTAAGAATATCTGCAGGCAGTTGAATATATGAATGTCATAATTGGATGAGAGGAAGGGGCTAGAAATGAGAATCAGAGAAACTGGAAGGTCAAGGACCAAAACGTAGGAATATCTTAATGCTTCAAGGGCAAGTGAAAGATCAGGAAGGAAAGTAGGAAAGAGCAATCATATTATAAGTGGCCCAGAGTGGGGATTCAGTTATGCAGGGTCTGGGCCAACAAGATTTGAAATGGGAGGAGTCATCACCAAAGTTTTAGATCCAGGCTCGTTCTGGTTTCCACCACCATCACTGGATGTCTTAGTCATCACTTCTGAGAAAAGCATGACCTTTACCTTCTCTTTATTTGCATCAGTAGGAGTAGGTAGGTCAAAACCCCTCCGCTATTGAAGGAAAAAAAAAATCAGCAAATTGGTTTCCAGTCCTGGCTCTGCCAGAAACACCCATGTTTTGACTTTGGATATTCTAACCTTCCTCAGGCATGTGCTTATCTGAAAAATAAGAGGTTCTATCCACAGGTTCTATCAGTTAGTTGGGTTAGTCAGGAGACAGAAACCATTCATTATTTTAACAGAACCATATAAAGAATTAAGTAGGCATTGAAGAAAGGGCCAAAGGAAAATAAGTATCAGAGAGCTAGCACCTGCCAGAAGCAACCGCCGCCCAGAAGGCACACTGCTCGAGTCTCTGAGGAGCACGATGACCCTGGTTCCAGGAGTCAGGACAAACTGAAATCCGAGCTGCTGCCTGTATGCTCGGGTGATGCTGCTGGGAGCAGAGCAAAACAGGACAAATCCCTTCCTCATCCAGCCTCGCAGCTATTGTACTCTTCCTATAGGAACTTTCGGTCTCGGAGCATCCCAACAGCTAAAATGATGAATAAAGGAAAATATAATTTCATCACTGAAATGGAAGTAAAGAATATACTGAACCCAAAGTAATGGGACACAAAAAACTCTGGAAGATAAGAAGGGTCAAAGCTTAGGGAGACTTCTGAAGCCTGAAGACTTTGACCTTTGTTGACATACAGGATGCCAAGGCAAGAGATAAAGCCAATGCCTGTCAAGATAAAGAGTGTAACAGGAGACCCTCCGATAAACCTGGACACAGAAGCTATATAAACCTTTATCTGCAGTATATAGGTAAATGAGGAATAAACCCCACCCTGCAGAAGGAGTCAACAAGGCAATGTGTCTATCTCCAACTTGACACTAGGTCAAGGGGAGGAATCTCCCTTCAGAATTTGTAAACCACAAGTTGGTTCTTGTGCCAGATTATGGTCTGAAACCCCTAGTGGAGAATTTAATTCAAATTGGTTCTGGGTAATGCCCCCAAGGGACAGGCAAAAGCTTTCCCAGGAGAACTCAGCTTTCAAAGAATACCCACAGATAAAATGCTAAGGAGAGTGAGCAGTTTATGGTCAAATTCACAAGGCACACAAGGAAATAAAACACCTTGAATACGAACCAGTGGAAACCTCAGTAGTAACCAGGGAAACATAAATTAAAACCTCAATGAGATACCAATTCATACTCAACAGATTGACAAAAAGTGTAGTAAATTGGCATTACCTAGTATATGCATGTAAGCATGTGCATACCCCCCATTCCTACCTTATAACCTAAAGAAACTCTTATACATGTATCTCATATGTAATGTCCCTAGCAGTATTGTTCATAATAGGAGAAAAATCCCTAGAAATAACCCTACTGACCAACATTAAAATGGATATACTGTGGCATATCCACACATTGCCATACTGCAGAGGAGGAGAATGAACCAACCTCACTATGTGCATCAACATGGATGAATCTCAAAAATAATATTGAACAAAAGCCATATAAGAATACGTCAAAGGGGATGGAAAAGATGGCGGAGGAGTAGGGGACCCTATTTCAGCTGGTCCCCGGAATTGAGCTGGATATCTACCAGACCACTCTGAGCACCCACGACACCAACCTGAGATGTAAGAAGATCTGGATCTCTACAAGCAGAATATCGCAGGCGGTTGGTTTTGAGGTACGAAGTGGCGAGCCATGATTCCGCAGGCAGATATCGGACGGTAAACAGCAGCGGGATGCCTGGCCATGGGGATCCTACACCACAGGTGAGCGACAGCCTCGCGCGCTGCGGAAGGGCACAGACTTGCAGACTGGTAGCATCGGGGAAAGGACTTTAGGGCAGCCCCCAGGGTGGAAACCCAGAGCGGCCGGGTTGCGCCTGCGAACTGCAGCCCCTGGGGCGGAAACCCGGAGCAGCAGGGGTGCGCGCGAACTGGGAGCGGCTGGCGGTTTTAGAAGCACAAAGGGCAGAGACGTGCCCCGACCTGGAGGCAGGACTGGGA